CAAACGGATCTCTAATTATATAATTTGGGGAAATTTGTGTATAAGCAAAACAATTTTTCACCTTTCTTCTTTCTTTTTCCAGATTCGGAAGAGAAACGACGCCTTTCTTCACAGATTTTGCACACTTTCGTTCTTCTCCAATCACTCAACTCTGCGCCAATGAAGGATGGCGACGCTTTACCATTAAGCACTTCTTCCGTCGGAACAACGACGGTGATTTTGGCGAACACGAAGAAAAAAAACGGTTATTCTGCTCTTTTTGCCAAAGACCGATACAAGTTTTAGGCCTTAGCGGTGATTCTGTTACTTGCTTTCTGATCAATGCTTACTGGCACCGTGAATCTCCGGTGGTCAGCCGGTAACATAGACCATTTCACCGACGATCTGGTATTTCCGATCCACGAGGATCTCGATGTTCTTGTGAGTCTCTCTCCCTCCGTGATCTACGTTTCTGTTTGAGATTTCGTGAATTTTTGATTGGGTGTTTTTGAATTGTGAGATTACGAAATGGAAGAGAGGGAGAAAGTTGTGAAGCATATGTGGGATGTGTATAACAATGGCCGTCGTATCAGATTACCTAGGTTTTGGCAAGAGGCGTTCGAAGCTGCTTATGAGGAGCTAACGAGTGATGTGCCTGATGTGGTGGAAGCTGCCATTGCGAAGATTGCAAGGATGTCTATTCGCTCCGTTGTCATAGATCCGCCTCCGGTTCACTCAACGGTGAGTATTTAAGCATTGAATCTGACTTCCATCAACGTTTAACACTGTGTATTGTTCTCTCTCTGTGTGGTTTTACTATGCTTTTAGTGTGTTTAGTTCATAGATTCATTCTTATTAGCTTTGGTTATACAATGTGTCATCTCCTTCACATTTGAATTGGAAGATTGAGAGCAGAAGCAACTAGTATGAGAAAGATTGAGATTAGAGTTTGATTTGCCAACCATCTTTTCATATTTTATGGATACTGGATGCTTTAACTGGGTTTAGATTAGTGTTATGCATAAGTGCTGGTAGGTCGGCTGCATATTCTGTTTCTTTTTAGCAAGATCGTTTATCCTTATACCGGCCAAAGAACTTAGAACTTGATAATGGTCGAGGTCGTATATCCATTTTAATCCGTAGTTCTAAGCAACTAAATGCCGATGCTAGCTGATCCTCATATTTGAATGGTGGCTTTGGTTGGTTAGTGTTTTCGATAGGGTGTGTGGACGGAAGCTTGTTCTTTTCTTGGTTTTGCATTCCAGATTACGCCGCTGAAGAGATCTGTATAACTATAAAGCGTGATGATGTCTATCAGCAAGTAAATTAGGCAGAGAATATGGTTTGTGTGTCTGCATATAGTTTCACACAAAGCCACATAAGGAGATCTAATCGCATGAATGTTATGTTGCTTTCCTTCATGTTACATGTTAGATAATAGTAGCATTATCTTGTTAATGCATTAGTTTGGTATCTACTATCCGCTTCCAATGCTGTTGATCTTCTCAATCTTAAAGATTATATTATATACATAGCAAGCTTTGTTTTCCAACTTTATGCAAGATCCTTAGTTTCTTAGTGCATTTGAATTGCATAGAAGAGTTATTGATCCATAGAGTCCCATAGATATAAAAAGAATTTGGCTATTTGGAAACCATGAGTTACTTTGTGCCAAACTTGTTTTTACCTGTTGTAATCTCTGTTTTGTATTGCAGAACGTACGAGAATTGACAAAGACTCTGAAACTTGCGGATAGAGGAAGAACGACCCAAATATCCAAACGAAACAGCAAATAGCTACTACGGAAGTTTCTTTTAATTCGCCTGAGCTTATCAAAGGTAGTGTTAGTCGCCGGCCGGCGTGGCGTAAAACCATACATATACTTCATGTCAGAAAGATCAAATCTCATCATCTCAAAAACTATGTCCGTGATTAGTGTTATTTTTTCTTCCACTAGGGGCATTACTCATTTCGTTTTTTTTTTGAGGAAAGTTTCTTCTTATCTACGAGCTATATGGTGATGGTATCTTTTTTATTTTATTTGGGATTCTACAGTATAAAAGCTAAGCCCAATTTGCAAAATACCCAAATCCAATTTCAAATTACATATTTAGCCCCTAATTTACCGAAGCAGAAAACAAAACAAAAGTAATTTAAATACATATAAAAATCCCAAGACTAGAACAAAAATAATATTTTAATTTCAACCTTTATTAATTTTGATATTGATATCATCATCCCCATCGAACCCCATCTCCTTCCTCCCGGAAAACCCTAGCTGAGCTCCGATTGCCTTTCGCCTTTCGCCTTTCGCCATGGGTGACCTCAACGATCCTTTCATGCGTAATCAAAACGCCGCCGTTCAGGCTCGCACTAAGGCTCAGAATCGATCCAATGTTCTTCAGCTTAAACTGGTTCGTCTCTTTGCTCATACTTTGTTAGCTCTCGTTTGCTTTGCTCCTCGTACTAGAATTGGGAATTTCAGATGCGATATTGGTTGTTCTGTTTCGGTATCAATGGAATAATCAACTCTTTGACTACTTGATTTGTGACGCTGAAACCTGTATTACTGATAACATTATTGATGGTTTCCGATGCTTGTAACCTAGATCGCTTCTGAATATCGTTTGTATGTCACTATGCCCACTAGTTTCAAATTGGATTTTATTAGAGTTTAATCGATGGATTTACTATGGAAAGCTCTGAAACCTGTTTGAGTAGGAGGATTTCATCTTGTTAAGAAGTTAATGTGATCTCTTGCTAATACGCAGATGGGTCAAAGCCACCCGACTGGCTTAACGCCTAATCTTCTGAAGCTCTTTGAGCCACGACCGCCATTGGAGTTCCTGCCACCACCAGAGAAGAGGAAATGCCCTCCTTATACAGGTTTGATCTTATCTTCTGTGTTTATTTAACTTATTTCTGAATGGGCGTTGGAGGTGTTATTTCGTCTTGTTTATTCTTTCTAGGCATGGCTCAATATGTGAGTAAATTTGCTGAACCTGGCGATCCAGAGTATGCTCCGCCTAAGCCAGAAGTTGAATTACCTGTATGTTTCAACTCAATCTATCTCGCTGTTATTCTTATTTCAGTGACATGTAGTCTTATATGTTTGTTTTTCGGCTCAGTCACAAAAAAGGGAGAGGATTCATAAATTACGACTGGAGAAAGGGGTTGAAAAGGCTGCAGAGGAGCTAATGAAATGTAAACTTCACCTTATAATTATTATAGCCTGGCTTTGTTTCGGTGAATCGAAGTTCATTTTTGATATTTTCTCTGCAGATGATCCGAATAATGATCCCAATGCTTCTGGGGATCCATACAAGACATTATTTGTTGCAAGGCTTGTAAGTTGCGCTGCCTGTTGAAATGACTCTCATAGACAGGTGTGTTTTTATGGTGCTTGACTTGATGCTCGTCTTGTTGTTTGCAGAACTACGAGACCTCTGAGAGTAAGATTAAAAGGGAGTTTGAGGCTTATGGACCAATTAAGCAGGTATGTATTTCTGAGTGTTCCCTAACAGGTTTGGTAAGAAGTTACAAGATGGTTGCTCTCTCTCATGTTCTCTTTGCAATATGTTTGATTTTATGTCCAGAAGTCTCTGAATTTTTCCGTACAACTATTTCTGTTGAGCTGTTTTAAATTGCCATGTTTTGCATTTTTTTTTAGTCTGGTTAAAGCCACTGTGCCTTTTTCTCATACTTTGCTAAGATAAAGTTAGTAGTAGAAGACATTCTCCCGTCAATATTGTGTAATTTCACAAAGTTTTCTACTCCGTGGTGATTAGTTGAGATGTTTCGTGGCAAGTCAACTATAGGAACAGGTATAGATCAGGTAACTTTACTTTTTGTCCCGTCTCTTTAAAGGATATGTATTCCTTCTACTACGATATCGAGGGTGTACCCTCGCAGGTTCATAGTCTCTGAGTATATTTTTCTCGAAACCCATCCTGGTAAGCCACTAAGAAATATTGTCCCCATTTTTCCTATCCACCTGGTAGACTGGTTCCTAAGAAAATGATTCATCCTGCACGGGGAGCTGAAATTCTGGGGTTTGGGCAGTGAATGTAAGATGTTAAAACAGTATCGGTAATGAAAGTAGGGAGTATACCAACCCTTCTCTCTTTTTCGTATTTTAAACAAATCTACTAAAGCTCTTGTTTTCTGGCTTTAGAGGCTAGCAAAAGTATTACCAGCTACTATGAAGGTGATCTGGTAAATTTGTAAATTATGTATAATATACATATATATCTAAATTTCATAAAAGTTTTTAAACCCTGGTAAGGGGTCGTTAAACCCTTCACAAATGGTAAAACTTGCTGCCATGGAATCCATTTTTCTGCCAATTCTTGATGTGGTGATGATGTGGAAGCCTGTTAAGAAAAAAGGTTGCCTGTGCTTGTTTGACATGTAACACACCGAATCTGAAAGCTGGTTCGAGTATGCGCAGAGTTTGTGATTTCTTGATGTCTTTCTTTTTTAACTTCTCAGGTTCATTTGGTGACTGATCAACAAACCAATAAACCCAAGGGCTATGCCTTCATCGAGTACTTGCACACCCGTGACATGAAAGGTGTGGAAAAACCCGCTTGTAATGTTTCTCTGTTCCAAAGATACTTTTAATTTTCTTGCTGACATAAACTTGTGGTCTCTTTTAGCTGCATATAAACAAGGTGATGGAAAGAAGATTGATGGTAGAAGAGTGTTGGTTGATGTTGAGAGAGGTAGAACAGTCCCAAACTGGCGTCCCCGTAGGCTTGGTGGTGGACTTGGTACAACCAGAGTTCCTGGTGAGAAGATTGCTGGCGAGGAGGAACAACAAGTACAACCGCAAGGAAGAACCTCTCGCTCTGAGGAGCCAAGAGCCCGGGAAGACCGGTAAGATAACTGTTTCTTCGCACTGTCTTTCCTCTTTTTTTTTTTTATCACATTGTTGTTACTGACAAAGTGGCGGATGGCAGTGAGAAATCTCGTGACAGAGGTAAAGAGAGGGAACGCGAGCAGTCTCATGAGCGATCCCGTGAGCGGTCTCGTGAGAGGTCTCGTGACAAACCAAGAGAGAGTCATAGAGAGGATAAGCACCACAGAGACCGGGACAGAGGTAGAGACAGGGATAAAGAAAGAGAGAGCAGGCGTGATCGAGGAGGTAGAGACCG